TAAAAAAGCAGTATTAAAGAACCAGTCAAAGCAAAATCAAGCGTAAGCGACCATGCAATGTTCAGTGTAAGCTCGACATAATATTATAATAGCGTTCTGGACGATTGCATAGTTTTGTGCTAATGCATAATTTGAGAGTGTATAATGTTTTATTGACAAAAGCATGTAAACTTGTTTAAGATCAATAAACAACCACTTTAACATGCATGATTTAGGTTGATAGGTTCATATGGGTTTTAATACACCTTAATGTGCAAGGCCCCTAAATGTATAATAATTTTAATTTTCAAGAAATATGATTAAAAAAATATATTCAGGGTGATTGTTATAAGTATGCCAGCTGTTTTATTAGAAAGTTATAAAAGATATAAACAAATGTCAAAGGCCTTGGATTTTTTATCAAAAAACTTTGGTCAAGATGAAAAAAAAAAAACAATTTTAGCTGCCATTTTTCCAATATAGCCGCCAACTTTAATTTTTCTCAAAGAATACCTAATATTTTATGGGTTTTGTTGAAAGTAAATGCAGTTTAAAAACGTTATTATTCTTGGGACTCTTTTTCTAAAGCTACTAGTGTATGAGCTACAGCGTGTTACAACTGAGAAAAATTACTTGCTTTGTACATTCTACATACCGTAATGTAGCTCTCCTAAACGAGTACGTTTAGAGCAAAAATGCCATGAGTAAATAAGTCTTAAAATTACATCTACATTCTCAAAAGAACAAGAAATACATCAAAAGTATTTGTGTAGCCATATTTTGTTTCCAGTTTTCCTATTTTCAAATTTGCTGCCATTTTTGAATAAATGTAATAATTTTTTTAATGTATTTTATGGTCTGTTTAGAATGTAGATACAATAATAAGAATTTATATAAATTGCATTTGGATTCTAAAAAACTATAAAATATAGGGCCTTCCATAAGAAAAATCAAAGTTGGTGGCAATATTGGAAATATGTCGGCTAAAATTATTTTTCAACTTGAAAAAAATTGTTTAGATAAAAATCCAAATTGTTTAAATAAAAAATCCAAGGCAGTTATAATTAAACATTTCTTTATATCTCTTATAACTTTCGAATAAAACTGCTGGCACACTTATATCAATCACCATACAGTATATGAAGACTTTTAACCTCTTTCAACGAGACAAATAATTTCTCTCTATGAAAATATAAAATTATAAAAACTATAACTTAAATCTTTTTAATTGACATAATATTTAACATCTATCCATTTTTATACTGTTGAAATGACTGTATGATGTGATCGATGCAAGGAAAATAAGTGATTTTTACACATAAAAAATGTATGTCGGCAAGGGGGTTTGTTGTTAGACTATGTATAATGCTAAAAAAGTCTTATAATAATCCCGAAAACAGTAATGTAATAAATTCATTTTCAACTGTATTAATTACGAATATCGGTTTATGGTGTACAATACTAACAATCAAGTGCCATATATTGAAAGATAATTTAAGACATATTTACATGGATAGAGTAGAAAACTAATAATTTAAGAAATTTTTGTTATTTTTCTTTTAGAAAAATGTCAATTAATATATTTGTATTGCAATTTTTAATAACATAATATGTGGAATTTGATGCTAATTGGAATCAATGTTGAAGATTGTATTGATTATAGTGAGTACTACGACTATCCGCAGTACTATCCTGATAATTAGACCAATTCGTTAATTACAAGGTAAACATGTGGTTCGGATTCCACTATAAACTGTAGGTCCCTAAGTTGCCATTGGCTGTGTGTCTAAGGAACATGTCGGTCTAAGTCAGTAACAAGACTACAAGAACACGCCACTCCCGCATCTCAATTCATAGGCCTACTTAGCTTAAAATACCTACATTCGTATGTTCACCATTTCATAAAAAATTAATTAAGTATTTTGTTATCATAGTTACTTGTTTCTAACATAATGTAAGAAGTTTCTTTTTTTATTACTGCATTTAGACGAAACTCGATACGAAGCAATTTAAATTCAAATTAAATTAAACTCAAATTTGTCTTCAAACTTAATTTTAATGTTAAAAATTATAGTTCAAAATGTTAGTTTAATTTGCAACTGTAAATACAACTGTAAATGTTTTGCAAGATAACGAAACAATTTAAAATAAAGTTATTGACAATTTTTTAACAATAATTTTAACTGAAAAGCGTAGGAATAAATTATTATTTTTTTATTTTTTATTGTTTGAATTGTCATTTACCTAAGAAAAAATTACTAAAACAATCTTTTATAGTTAAGAAAAAATTAATAAAAAGTATGCTAAGCATTATGTAGAAATGTAATTGATAATCATAGTTCACGCTGTTAAAAATGGATAGATGTAATAACTCCAGCATAAACCGTAAGTCTATAAAGTTAATAAAATTAATATAAAATTAGTATAAAAAATTATGATCATAATGTAAGCAAAACATTCAGATAAATTAACCATATAAAGTGTGCTGCGTTAAACCCTTTCTTACAGACAGAGATGTGCTCTAGTAAAGGTAAAAACGTAAATAAAACATACATTCACAAATATTGTTTATGTATGTTTGTAGTTTGTTTAGGAATATATTTATTTTTAGAGTAAAAAATATTTTACTACTTCTTTTAATAAGAATTAATGAAATTGGATTTATTATATTTTAATAACTGAAAGTTCAACTTTTTTTTATGTAAAAAATCTATTACCTACTGTAGTTTCACATTACTTTTATAATGAAAAATGAGAAAACTTGCGTAACAATTAAATCATAAGAGGAAATAAAAATTCATCATCAATGGAATCAACGTTACTTACAATCATTTCTCGTTTTTATTCTTAAAATTAAAAATATTATTCGCGACTTTGACGTTTCTCACAAAAAATACATTACCTGAGTCAGCGAAGCATCGTAATTGGTATTCGAACAACAAAAGCTAAATTCGGTAAATCCTGGTAAAAATGTTAAACAATATCTTCAAAGAATGTTAAAACTGTCAGCCCATTTGGTTCCAGTTATTTATTTAATTTCAAGTAATTTAAGATTACAATAAAGGTAGGCCTATTATGGGATAATTATAATTAAATAAGTTGTGTTGTTCCGATTAAAAGATTTTACAAAACAATAAAAACCCTAATTTAACAGAAACCCCCCAGATTCGTGTATTTCATATTTATAATACTAAGCTAATCCATACTACTTTGCCGTGTGTCACATTACATCCAGGGTATTCTTCGCGCCAAGAAGCTCGACCTTGACCGGGATGCGGTGTAGGTCATAAAGTATCCAAATGCCAAAAACGGCGAGAGCCCTGAGGGCTTAGGTCACATGTTGGCCTGACTTGAAGTAATGTGACAAACAATTCCAGGTCTGTGTCCAACAGAGTAGAGGGGGTTTTTGCAGGGAATATTGCAAACAAATAGTTAAACATAAAACTTTAAATTTAACACCACTAAAACTGATTCATTAGTTTTTAATTTTATATTATCCTACATCATTGCTGTCGAACTTAAAAGAATATATTTATTCGAGAAGCCGTTTTTTAAATTTTTTTAAAAGTATATTAGTAATAAACTATTACATCTGGAAACGGAGATTTATTATCGGTTTGTTTTTACCAGCCAAAAACCAAATATTTAGTAAAGAATCCCTTAAATGTTTCTTACTTTTCACTTGACTTCCAAATCAAATTTCAAGCGTTACCTATATTGTATGTTTTGCATCTACAATAATTATTGGTAACATTTTGGAACACACCAAAAGCACCACTATCAAAAAAAATTTACTTACTGATCTCACAATAAATATATGATAATATAGTAACTGCTGTAATGTGTCCCTTTACTTAAATTTAGGATTTAATATGATCACTTGTACTCAGTATTGTTACAAAATACATGCACATTTTGTTGCTTGGTTCAGTGATTTTTAGAAAAATCCATGTAGATGATGATAATCAATTCGACTCCCAATTTTAGAAAACATTCTACAATGCGCAAACTTCTTAAAGCTGACAAGAAGTCTGATACATGAATGTTGTAAAAAAGTGGAATAAGATTTTGGGCAAAGTTAAATTTTTAGTCAAAAGTATTGATATAGTTTGTACTGTGTCTTACTAATTGTATCAAGTTTATTTTACGAATACTTTATGGCCATGATGAACCTCTCGTTACAATATGCATATGATTTTGAATTAATTTTATATTGTAAAATAATTTATTTTACTGGTTTGATATTTTAATAAGTCACATAGACATTGATATAAATATTTGTTTTATTTTTCAACCTTATCTGCCATAAGCCAATAATTTGTAAAAATCTCTTTGCCTTAAAGTGTAATTAAAGTGAACGATGGGTGTGAAATTTGCCTAATTCTCTGAAAAAGGGCGTGTTAATTTGATGGGACCGCAATCTTTCAACGCCACTGAGCTGTCAAATGACAAACAGTGGGTTAAATAGGGGTAGCATGGGGAAGAGAGGTAGCAAAAATTAGCGGAAAAACCTTTCCATGTAAAAATTACAATTAAAGCTTGCATTTGGAATGCTTAATTTTAAGTTCCCTTATTAAACTTATTTTTGATACAAAACACTAATATTGAAATTGTGCTAATCAATAGGCTTGCGTTTCCAAAGTTCTACTAAATTAATTGAACTGAAATAAAAATAACACCTGTTTTCAAACTTCTAATTGATTGAAAAAATTGAAGTGAAGTGATTTTAAAATAGTTTTGTAGAAACAGTTTTTTTAGTTAAATAAAAACCAGGATTTACCGGTATGTGCATGAAGCGGGTGCATAAAAAAACTAGTTAACATTAGAAAAATCAGCTGTATTGATAAAAGTGTACTATTAGTATTGGACGCACAGTTCATGCAGCCGTCAACATTTATGTGTTACAATATAACTACTCGAAACACTTAGGAAACAATACGACTAAAAACCTAAATACACAGCTGATTTACATAAGCAGGGAGTCAGTATCGCTGTAAAGTAACGAATCAGTATCATAATACCTGGAAAACGGTCACTAACGCCCACAAAAGTGAGTCAAAGTTCTTCCTATCGCAAGTCTGTTGTCCGTTATTATTTGGTTCGCAGAATTTGCATCCAAACAGGTTCATTCCGAGGATACTAAAATCCGGAATGTACATTGTAAAAAATTAGATGCATAACTACGTAAAAGCTAGGACGACTAGGCATAAACAAAATTTGTATATGTTTAACAGCCAATAAAAATGTATTAACAAAATTACAAATTGGAAGAATTCTTGCTATTTGTTTTACATTTTTGTATTATTTTACTTAACATACAATATCAGTGTTCGTTTAAATTAGTTAGCGTTTTACTATAAAACAAATGTTACTTATAAATTATGAACTATTGAAATGACTTAAACGTCTAAAATTGTAGGCAGTCACTTGGTTGTACAGTAGTATTTAAAATTTTAAATTACGTATGAGGTTTTTAGGTGAACTAAAACAGAAAATGAAATGATAAGCGATTTGTCACCACTGCCACTATAAAAGTTTTACTAGATTGGTTTTACTATTCAAATTACTGTATAACAGTGTCAGAAAACAATCATTGTCCGTAAAAAATTTAAAATAAAAAAAAATTTAAATTTAAATTTAACGTCAGTTCATTGGATAGGCCTAGTCCAAAGCATTCTAAATGAATAATTTCATTTTAAGCGTCCCAGAAAGACGTTCAAAAAGCTTTAAAGTGATTTGGTTTGAAATCAACGGTTTTGAGAACATGACTATGTTTATAAAGTTGCTTTATGTTGTAAAAAATACATAATTGATAATTTACAAAATTAAATAATACACACAATCAATTAATTAAAACATTGTAACTTCACTTCATCATAGATTTATTTATCAAACCTATTTTTGGAAAATACTGGTTAATACTATTTATATGGCTCTATTAATGCAAATAAATAAGGTTTTCATGTTTTGTTTTTATTTCATGTAAAATTGATGCATTTTAAAGATTTTGCTTATTTATTTTTATGTGCTTAGGAAGGAATAGACATCACAATGAAAGGTCGGGTAGGATTATCTGGTGGGTTGACGGTGGGAGATTATGTAATTTGGACTTACTGCCAGCCAAACAGCTAAAGAGAGTATTACACTTTCTTTGAGAATAGACTTACCGTATTATTTGACTTAGATAGCCATAATTTGACATGGAATAGTGCATTAACTCATATTATTGTTTCGCAAGTAACTCATACATAGTTCTAAAGGTGGATAACTACTAAACTTGTAAAAAAAAAAAAAACTGCGGAAAAAGTTCTAATATCCTATCACTATGCAATGCTACTACAATGTAGCTTTAAACTAAGCTTCGTTGAGAATAACATATTTAAAATTATTTATACGATTTATGCAGTATAATACTCATTAACTGATGGCTGACAGCGCATTTGATGGTTCAGACACGGATGTAGTTTCAATGCGTGAGTGTAGCGCAAAGCGTGTAGGTATCGGACAAGACTTGGAGTTGAGCAGTTTAAGTTGTTTACAATCATCTTCCAAATTCAAAACAGAATCAAATAAAATTGTCAATTTCATGGAAAACGGGTTAAAAATGTAGGTACTTCTATAATAATATTAAAAGAATGTATAAACTGTTTGTGCAAAAATACAAAACCAAAATTAAGCCAATGATTGTTACCAAGTGGATGGAACGCAATTAATCAAAAGTTTCCACAGTTGAATTTAAATTTATTTAAACTTTCTCAGTTATCAAAGGATTTTCCCACATTTACTCCAAACTTCAAAACTCCCAGTCCTGGCCGTTACCAAAATCTCACCAAGAGCGTAGCATGGTTTCACGTACCTGAAGATGAAGATAAAGAGTATCAGGAGAGAGAAGAACACTGCGACGTTATCCATGGTTCTAAGCATGACGACCAGCTGACGGCGGAGGTTAGGCATGAACCTGACAAGCTTCAGGATCCTCAAAAGTCTGAAGGTCCTTAGGACACTGAGGCCTGAACTTCCTTCCCGTTCCCCTAGGAAGGTCTGACCAAGCTCGATCACACTGGAAAAGGTTACACTCTCGTGGTTAATATTTGGAGTACCTTCCATTATTTTGAATCTAAATAAATATTTGATGGGTTAAGGTATGTATAATAAATGTTGAACTCCAAGGAGGATTTGTTTGATGAGTTATAAAAAAAAGACGATTCAATTATTGGAAGTACTGTCAGTCATATTGGGATTAAGTCGTATAAACAAAACGGTGTTGGAAATAGTAGATTACACAACGATTAGGACTTTGCGACAAAAGTAGAAATTTTGTACCTTAAAAACTTCTACGAATGTCATAAAGGTTTATTACTAGATTGCTTAAACCCCTTTATCTACATCCGTTGTAATTACATTAGTAAAACTTCATTGTGGTACTCTCTCTTTCTGTTACTTTTTGAGGAAATATGTACTGATTGCAGTACTTTTACCATAACTATTGTTTCAGGTACAAGACAAAGAATATTACATATTTAGCATCTGATTTTTTTTTATTTGCTTACACCATAAAAAATAAAGTATATCTTAAAGATTATTACAAACGATTAGAGTTCCTACTTCTCTGTTGTCTATTTCAATAGAGTTATCCAACATTTCCAAAATCTTTCAATAAACCTTTCTGCAGCCATCGGTGAGCAAATCATTTAGTATACCTTTAGGTTAAAAAAAGAATGTGTGTTTCCAGCGGTCGACGGATCAACAATTGAGTTGGTCGTTACCAGTTGATAAGTTACAATTTTACTTTTTTCTCTCAACCCTTGAGGAAACAAACAAAATTGGATTGGGAATGATCTACAAAACAGTCTATAAAGGAGGTCCAAAGGACGTGTTTTATAAATTACCTCATAACGACTATTTATTGATAAGAAATTGCACACATTACATAAGATTTGGTTTAGGGAAGTTACCTCAGGATGACAATGATGCCATCGAAGACGTTAAAACCATTGCTGATGTAGCCAAAAGGGCCTTCTGAAATCACCTTGAGAAGCATCTCGCAAGCGAAAACAGCAGAGAAAATAATATTGCTGGTCTCCACTATTACTGTTAGCTCCTCTGGCTGTGAAAATGGAGGACCCAAATTAATTAAGATATGAAAAGTGTACCTAATGAAGCAAATCTATGAAATAGGCAATTTAAATATTAACAATACGAGTGCATTCATTCAACACTAATGAGCTCACTAACTCGTATTATATCCGAAGCTTAACTGCAGGTCAGCATATTTAAACTAGTAGTATACTATAACAAAACCCATAATTTTATCGATCACATAAAGGAAATCTAGGAAACGGCTGAATTAATTATTACAGAGACTAATGCCGTACAGTTATGTCCATTACAGCTCAGCGGCAGTTCCGTGCATTCATTCAATTAGGTTGACCAGAATGTCGACATGGAGAGGTTCCGTCATGATTATCTGTATGGATAGTTAACAAAACTAAACAGATTATTACTCTAATTAATTTGTAGGGATGAAATTTAATCTCAAAATTTGTTTGAGTGGTCAGATAAATGTTCAAGGCAGCAGCTTATTTCGGGGGGCCTACGAGGATTGTTTTCCACAGGAGCACGAACTCTATCGAATGTTAGTTGTCTGGCACCCGATTTGACTTTGGACGGCCTTTCAGCTTTCTTTTGAACGCAGAGGCTATTGTTCTAAAGTTACTAATTTTAAACAGGAACATTTACTAAGCTTTGGCGTTTTGGACTTGATCCTAGACAACTGTTCAAGTGAGCTGCCCTGCATATACTTAATATTAGGTTGATGTCTGTAACTTGATTAAACCCGTAAGACAATTGTTGTAGTATTAATGTAAAAAATCCTGTAACATCACTTTTCATATAAAATTACCTGGTTGTGATACTCTATCCCCATGCTGAGCGTGTTGATGAGGATGGCGAGTAGGATCCCTTGCTGGAAGTACTTGTGCTCCACAAGCAACTGTACACATCTCCTGGCAGCGCCGCATCCGGAGTAGACGCATTGGAAAGCACAATACCAGGTATGACCGCAACCGCAGCAACTGGATCTTGGCTTGTCGTAACTTGTCCAGTCAACGGCCGACCGCTGTTGAACACAATCGTAACTTGTGAACAGTTGGAGCCATTTTGCATTTCAAGTGTAAAAATGGCTGATTGTCATGCATGCTTACGTACTTGTCTAAGGTCTTAGGTCTGTGATTGAAGAACCCCACACTTTATGACTCACTAGTCAAGCTCTGGTCATAACGAAGACAATTTAAAAAGTAGTATTATAATAGTGTAGAGTGGTGTTGAAAATGACAAAAACAAACTTACATCCATAGCTCCAATGCTAGTAGCAAACTGGATCTGAGGTTGAAGAACTCCTTTGCTGAGCGAGTTGAACAAAGAGTCGAGAGCAAGCTGGCCTGTAGGGAGAGCTGCACTGAGTGCTCCACTGAGAGCCAAGAGTTCCTGACAAGTCATCGCTTCAGCAGTTGATGTCTGGAGATAGAAATATCTCTGTGGTAAATTTCGTTATCAATGAAATATAAACATCACACATTTTAAACCGCACCCATAATCCCACCCATAGAAATATCGTTTAACTACTCTCTCTTTGACGTTCGGCTAAAATAAAATGAATAATACAAACTTTCTTTCAACCAATAACCGATCATTGTTCTCATCACTTTTGTAACTATAGGTGCTATCAAACTATCATCAATCAATCTATGAAGCTTAAAAATATCAAGATATTAATCTCAAAATTATTAATCTATTTAGCTTTAAAGATGAAGCTAGCTATCAAGCTATGAATCAAGCCTACAAGTTATTACACTTTAAGCATATTCTGATCCTGATTCCAACCTGATGTTGTGCTGACGAAGGGATGATGACAGTGTGTGAATCACTATCAGGCCAATCTCCTTCTCCGGTCTGAGTCTGTTTCTCGCTGGAGCACACGTTCCTTGTCTGCTGAACATTCGGGGTGTTCTCTCCATGCAGGAGGACCACGTCGTTGAACATCACACTACTTCTGCGTCGAGAGAGGTTCGTGGTTCCTGGAGGACTGAGAAGACTAGCCCCCGTGTGACTCTGAGAGTGGGTAATTGTTTTATTAAATGTAAATGTTATTATTTAAACAACTATTTAAGTAGCTAAAGTCATTGTTTTATACAAAAAATATATTTATTAGTAGTGTTATATTGTATGTACTATAACATGCCTAAGCGGGGGCTAATAACTCTCAAGTAACAAAATTACAAATAGTATACAGAATGTTGCTGAAAATTCCTGGTTATGAGCAGTACACCTAATTTTGAAAGTAAACGAGACTATTTTTGCATACAACTACCACATTAAGCCTCAGAGGCAATAGATTGATAGAACTTGAAAGCAACATTTATTTTCTTTGTGGTAGGTTTCCTTACATTTACACATGAACAAAAGGATTCTCAGGAGTTCTATCAATGAATCGAAAAATTTAATCAGCTACTTTGATAAGATGTTTGCTATAATTAAAATAGGATGATTAAAAAAATATTTTATTAACTATATAATTTTTCTTGTTATCTACATAATGTGCTCCTCAAGCATCGTATTACACTTTTAACTTTTACACCAAATTTAAGACCGACATACCTCCTGTTCCCAATGAGAGCCGTTATTAAAGGAAGGCACCCGCAGTAAGGACGGCCTCTTGGGACTCGGGGGCGTGTCTTCTATCACCTCTATTGTAGGCACAGTGGGAGGAGGAGCCTCCGGTGGTGGGGAGCGATGCCGTCGAGGAGTGGGGGAAATGACCACTGTCGCTGGTACTGTACACTTAAACTTTTCCCCTGAAAAACATCATAAAACATGGACAAATTTTATAACTTCGGTTTTATAGTGTAAGATGTGATCTCCACTAATACTTAACGGTCTTGTTCTCTTTTCTATTGACACTAAAGGTTGGGGGTTTAATCCTGAACATTTCTGAAGTTATAAGTTGTATTTATTGAATGAAAACATATTTAAATGGCTCTAAAGTAGGCTACTTTTTAAGACAAAAAATTAAATTTTTGTCATATCGAGTTACATATATATATATAAATGGTAAATATTACATTATTTAAGAAATTATTACCAACATCTTAGTACATATTATACATCTTAGTAACCCCATCAACAACCAAAGGTATGCAATGCTTATAGCAATAAATAAGCCCGGCAGTTAATTTGTTTCATGGCTAAAATGTTGTCACAAATGACATGCTTATAAAATAATTAATTGACCAAACTAATTATATTATGATTAAAATGGCCAAGAAATATCAACTGTCGAAACAAGTTGCCCTAATATAAATTGATAAATATCTTCATCACAAAAAAGGTTCAGTTGTTATTTAACAAACGTTCTATTCCTATGTACTTCAAATGATTATAAACCAGTTTAAATACATGGGGTATTCTGCCGATTCTTACTAACAGGGCAATTCATTCTTTAACAGCTACGATGACATTTATATTTCAGCTAATGGAAAGTGTCATAATAGGTTGAACAGCACAAACTTGTGGCTTACCCTCTTGCGGTTTGAACGGGTGCATCGCCAATGGACTGCCCACAGACGTTGGGTTGTCCTCGTTGTTATTGCTTATGCTGAGTTTTTGTTCCCTCTTTTGATGTCTTCTGTACTTCCAAAGACGATATTTTTTTATCAGTCTTCTCTTCCCTCTCCTCCACATGTGAGCGACAAGTCTGTAAAAAAATGAAGTTAATAACTAATTGTTCATCGAACATTAAAATGTATGAGCAAGATCAGTTTGCAATAAATTTGTTGATTTTAGATTACACTATAAAGAGTGATTTACCTACCTTAATCAGGCCACAATTAATTGTCAAATAGTAGCAGATTTAAAACACAATCAAACAGAGGGCAAAGCTGTAAAGTAAAACCCCTTTTTAATTATCATTTGCAGGTGCGCTATATCATAAGCTTTAAAATGACACCTTAATCGTAAAAATCGGTTAAGTAGGACGGCTGTAAAAGGGATGTTACTGAGAAACACCTCACTGTATTAATTATATAGATTTGACATAACAGAGCTATCTCCAACTTAAATTGAACGGTATCAAGACATCCGATATAGAGTCGCGCTCATTTCACCTTCTGTTCGCTCTTATCGAAGTCCAAAGTTTCGCTTCGTACTAAACTTCCCGGACATTATGCCAGACCAACCGTGTTGTTCTGTTTGCTAACTTTTAATTGATACAGCCTCCAGTCTTTGTATAAGCACGAAGGGTAACTTCTGCTAACTACTGTTGTACCTAGTTTACTCGGAGTGCCACTCTGTTAAAGACAATTGCACTTGTTGATTCTTCTACGTAAAGGAAATGTCACTTTATGTATATTGTTCATACATTGCACAAAATTTGTTTGTATACGTATAAAAAGAGTACATTTTTCCTTATGGAAAATGATTTAATATACATTGTGTGATTGAAAAGTCTCGGAATGGTGTAATATATTTTTTACCCTTATTAGATGAAGTGATGAGACTTGGTATAGTAATAATAACCATAAATGTAGTATTTTCAGCTATTATCACCTATTTATCCCCCAAGGGGGACGGCCCACGAGGAGTCAGAAGGAAATCTTAAACAGCAGCATAGGTCGAAATTGGTATCAAATTAAAGCTTGGTTAGTAGAAAACAATGCCGTAAATTTAAAGTCAAACGGAAAACCGAGTCAAAAATGACAGCTGTTCTAAGATACATTGAATTTTCAATGATATTATAGGACGCTACGTCCTCAGAGGGGCGCCCCCTAGAATTCGGTAGAAAATCATAAACACACACATAGGTTGATATGCACATAAAATTAAATGTATTTACTAGTAGAATACAATGCCAAAAACTTAAGCTCAAAAGAACAACTGAGTAAAACATGGCAGCCGTAAAAAAAGAAAAAAAGGCAGATTCAAGGAATCTTTGAACGGTTGTCATTTTTGACAAGGTCATTCGTTTGAGTTCAAATTTGTAGCATTTTATTTTAATAGTAAAGGCCTTTAATACGATTACAAACTTGGTCTATGCTGCTATTAAGAATTTTGTCTGACTCCTCGTGGGCCGTCCCCCTTAAGGGATAAAAAAATAATAAAACCTTAAAAGATTAGACATATTTTATTTGTACTGATTGTTGTTTTCTTTCTAGGATCATTGTTTCTTGTTTCACTACTATACTGTTCTGTGCAGTTTATATTAATGTTTGTTGATGTTGTTTGATGTTGATTGGTGATTCGGCGGGATTTGAACCCGGGACCTCAGGGACCGCAGTCCCACGCTCTACCACTAGACCAGCTTGCTCCCTACCAATTGTACTACTTATGCATAAGAAGTATAATTAGAGTTGTTCGTAGAAAAAGTCAATTGCCACATGAAATAATTTACTTATTTACTATCTCCGCATAGCAAGAAGTAAATTATTCAGAGTTGTTGGTATAAGAAGCTTGAGTACTATTCTTACTTTGCTATATCCGCATAGAAAGAAGTAGGTTCAGAGTTTTTGGTAGACAAAGCTAATGGATAATTGAACTACTCCACTTACTTAACTCTCTCCACATAGCACGAAGTAGGTTCAGAGTGTTTGGTAGACAAAGTCAATGGATAGTCGAACTTCTTTACTTACTTTACTATCTGCGTGTAACAAGAAGTAGGCTCAGAGATGTTTGTGGACAAAGCCAACAGAGATATGAACTACTTACTTTACTATCTGCGTGTAACAAGAAGTAGGCTCAGAGATGTTTGTAGACAAAGCTAACAGAGATATGAACTACTTTACTTATTTTACTATCTGCGTGTAGCAAGAAGTAGGTTCAGAGTTGTTTATGGACAAAGCCAACAGAGATATGAACTACTTTACTTACTTTACTATCTCCGCGTAGCAAGAAGTAGGTTCAGAGTTGTTTATGGACAAAGCCAACAGAGATATGAACTACTTTACTTACTTTACTATCTCCGCGTAGCAAGAAGTAGGCTCAGAGATGTTTGTGGACAAAGCCAACAGAGATATGAACTACTTTACTTACTTTACTATCTCCGCGTAGCAAGAAGTAGGTTCAGAGTTGTTGGTGGACGAAGCTAGAGTGCTTGTACTTTGGTAACGCGCTCTCTCTTGCCGCATTCTCTCCATCTCTCTCTTCTTCGTCTCGGAGAACTGAGTAGCGATGACGACAAGGCACAGATTTATCATGAAGAAAGACCCAATCTGGGAACAGAACAGAAAAATCAGAGTAGTTGTAAAAATCTTTCAGGGATAAAATCACCAAAATGCTAAAAGGATTGAGGCGTTTAACTCAAAATCATTTGTTGATAAACAAACATTCTTATCAAGATCAATCGTGATAAAGTGTTAGTATGTTGTAACTTGTAGGTTAAAACAACTTACCGATCAATCGAAGCGCTATAAATAAAATAAAGTATGAAGACTTGATCAAATATAAAAAAAGTCTCTCTCTCTTGGAGACCCCGAACTTTAATTGATTTTAATTAAGTTGAAATCATAGTTATAGAATTATTATGTATGACATTTGAATATTTATGTAAAAGTTGTTAAGCTATAGTAAATTGCAAATACTTTGACTAGGAAATAAACTAATACAGGCCTATAAAAATTACTAGTCCAACTGCAAAATAGTATGGATGTCAATTCAAATTCTAATTATAGACCTTTTTAACAGTCCTAAAATGTATAGGTATTATGGATTATGTAAATTTTAAGAATATTTGCTGGAATTTTTAATATTTAATTTGAACCTATAATGTTAGCAAAACGGGAGTGCCGATGGAGACCTGTGGGTGTGCGTGCGTTTGAAGGGACTTGACCTGGTCTCCATCGGCACTCCCGTTTTGCTAACACCGTAGTGGTTTTGAGTTGCTTAAGAGTCAGTTCATTTTTTGTACTGTATCTGTCACTTAGACATTTTATTCATTAATTTAGAGTATTTCATTACAGCTTTTATTCTATTTTACAATAATTCATACGGTTACAAATATGAAATAAATAACCAACAGAAAGATTATGAATACACTCAAGCACCCTCTTTTAATGGTATATAATCTTTGAATGAAACTTTGAATTCAGTATGGAAATATAAAAAATCCCAACTATTATTTATAAAGAGTTTAACATAAAAACCCTGTTCTAAAATTTTTTATAAAAAAGGGTGACAAAAAGTAAACAAACACATTGTAAAACACAATTCAGATCAATGTAAAACCTACAAGGTACAAGGAAAGACATTTTCTATCGTTTAAACTAAAATTATTGGGGACACTGTAGTTTGGGTGCCTTATGGACCATTACTTATCTTGGTCAAACTCCAACGTTCAGTATAATTTGTACATTACGTGGGCCTAATTTGAAAACAACTTACAAGTAATGCTAATCAGTTTAAAACAAATGTGAATTGTTATAAAATGATAGAATATGCTGTGTTTACGCACCGATTTTGTATATTTAGGGATTGTGTAAGATGAAATCTTAAATTCAATTTATTATAATGGGGGAAGTTCTACAATGGAGATTGTTTCTTTTTGGGGTTTTTTAGTTGATGGTAAAATGTTTTATAGATATTTAGATGGAAGACCTATGGTGGGTCTCAAACCCTAGGTTACAGCAAGCAACACTACATACAGTATTTATAAATTGATTTATTCATTGTTGATAGAATTTGATCATCCTGAACCTCAATCACGCTCTCTATCTAATCTTCACTCTGGATCATGTAATGAATAATTATTTTCAATTAATTAATGTAATTTATTTGTTCTCTTGGTTTATATTTGGTAATTAAACACAGTTAGTTATTTACTATTAGATTTAAAATAAAACAAAATTATATTAGACTATCTTAATACATTTATCATTTACTCTCAAAATACCTGTATTTATTTTTCCCCTGACAGATCAAATAATGTGTTAGAGTGGACAGGAATGATATTATGATTACTTCTTTTTATTGTATTTTTTTATTTGATCGATAATTTCATAAATTGTAATTACGTAAATCAGAACTTTCACGTTTTGTATAAGAGAAGCATTGACAAGAAATATATAAACACCACACGATGTCACTATAGAGGGTTGAAAGTAGGGTCATGTAGCTTATTGCTTTACTAATTTCATCCAAAAGATTTCTTAAAAATTTTTTATTCATCAATTAAGAATCAAATTGTAATCGTAATTTAGACAAAACAAAAACAAATATTATATAATAGTTTAACTTCAAATAAGTTTACAAACCTAACCCTTATGGGTGTTTAGTTTTAGAATAACTTGTAATGGTAGAAGAAACGATCACATGAAATATTTTAATCCTAACGTCTAACAACTAAAAAATTAAATCAAAACATTCATAATTAATTCATTTTAAACTAACACGAAACACAAATATAAATAATTGGAATGAATATAAATGTATTTATAATTTAGGTAAGAAATTATAAATAAATAATATTAATAATATAAATATAAATAATAATAATAATAATATAATATAAATAATAATATAAATATTAATACATATCATTATAAATAAATATTCTTTATTTATAAGAATAAATATACATTTATTTATAATTTAGGATTAATTTGATCTAAAAATAACTTATTCAAATGTACTCTTGTCAAAGGAAACTTTTAAATTAACTTCGACAAAGAAGAAAGTACTTCTAGGAGACAGTGAGCTATTCCTAACAATGAGTGACCTTAAGGTGAATCAATGCAACAAAAAATTGATTATGTCACACAATAAATGTGGGTTGGTAACAACGAGACCCAACAATGAGAGGGCAACAATGAGGCACTCACAACAATAAGGAGTACAAAGTAGATCCAGTCCCAGAAGGAGTGGGCGTCCTGGACGTAATACATGATGTCACTCCAACCTTCCAAGCTGATCACCTGGAACGGAAAATTACTTTCTTACTTTCACTTTTGTGATTTACCTGTGTAGTAAAATATTCAAAGTTTTTTGTCTTTGAAATATAATAAGGTAACCTAATTTTTATCAATAGATGTAGCTTGTTTTCAAAAGCAACGACTCAAACTATTATATTTTATGATTTGTTTCTATTCTATAAAAGAGTCTTATAACTAGGATAGCTAAATCCATACTGTTAAAATTTTAAGACATTATCTATTACAACATTTTATTATAGCGAATGATTAAGTTTTACCAGTCACACCACCCATAATTCTCAGCTAAAGAAAGATAGTAAATTGAGTCAAAAAGGTGTCTTTTTTGTAAACTATTCACCGCCGGAATTAAGCTACTAATATAACATATTTTGCATCATCTTCCTCCTCAAAAAAAGTTAGGCAACAAATTTGGGTTTTGGCAAATTTATTTGTTGAATAGCCTAAGCTCTTAACCATGTTGTTTATAGTTAACAGAAATATCTTATTCTGTACTATAAACTTCGTGTAAAACCTTGGTATTTTTAAAAGTAAATGTAATTTTTCTCAATTAATGATCTTTTTTCTGTACCTATATTACTTAGATGTGTTAAAGCTACAAACTATAAAAAAACTTGCAACTGAAGCAATCAATTCTAATAAAATGTAAAATGTTTTAAACAAAATAATTAATTTTAAAATAAATTAATGTACGTGATTTCTTCTGAGACGAAACTTTTATCTCGAATGAGATAAGTCCATTAACAACACAAAACATCCCTCTTCTTTTCAAATTAACTCTATAAGTGCAGCGCCGTTGGCAAGACTGATGGTAGCGTCCATCACAGAACCAATGTCGACCTCGGTTTTTAAGTGAAAGTAAAATAAAGTGGAAATGAGATATGGAGGAGATTGATCGTTTCTGGGGTGCTTTCTCAACACATCTTCATTAGGCTTGTATCCAGCATGAATCAAACATGAAATGAATTATTCAAAATCGATACGTGACAGCGAAACGTTCAGGCTATCAATCTCCGTTTGCAAAACAGTTTCCGGTTTAGTTGAATGCGAAAGGAATGTTTTTTCGTAGATTTTTCGCTTATCTACGAGGCAGAACATCGAATGAGGTCTATGACGCCCAGCAGTAGGTATGTACAAAATAGTGAAATGTATGAAACACTGGTCTACAGTTTTTGAAATGAATTATCGATTAAGTATATGGTCACGATTGTAACATACATGTTAAACCGATCAAGTTAGCTTGGTGATTGATGATCCAGACCAGGTTTGAGAAACAAAATCAAACAAAATCATGCAGATCATATAATTCTCTAGAAAAATTGACTACTTAGTACTAAAATATTAAATGCAAACATTCATTAACAGTGTTAAAAGGCTATCACATTAGGCACCATGATAGCTTAAAAACCTTGGTTATTTTTTAATTGTTGGGTAGTTTATTAAATAATTCCTGACCAATATTTTGAGGGTAAATGGATCAAAGTTGACCTATGACATGTTTGTTGATGTTGCTCCCTACTCCTTGTCGTATTATGAACATGTGACAATGCTAAAGGGAGTATATTTAAATTCTTAAAATAATTTATCAATATCGATAGAAATTTAAAAAAAATGAGCCAATATTGAAGTCAACATTGAGTATACAATGCATGCACCTCTAAACTGTACACATAACACATAAAAAACACTAACCAAGAATATAGCGACCCACGCCAACCCGATGTTGTCAAAGGAGATGGTCCCCTGGAAAGGGTTGTCGCCTTGAGGTTTACACTCGGTGTAATAATAGTTCCAGTTGACACAGGACTTGTTGGTAGGGATGTTGTTGCTCCATGGAAGAGCCGTATCGTTACACAGTAGTTCCCCGTGTTTGTATGGTGGCAGATCGCTGCATCTGTGCATCCCGTTGTCTTCCGGCTTGGAACATATGTAGTCCCGGTCTTGCTCTTGGTACTGGTAGTACGCCGCCAGCGGCCTGAAAATGGCGGGAGTTGGTTAGTTGTTAGGTAAACGCGGGTAAAAGTATAGTGAAATTTCTTGGAGCAAAGAAATTACAAAGAAATAATTGGAGTTTTGAGTCATGGGCGTACGAGATTTTGAAGCATGAAAGAAGAAATAGGTGTTGGTAGTGGGATATTTATCACCACATTGGGTATTGAAGAGGATAAAGAAATTAAGTGAGTAAGAATAGAGGAATAGAAATAGAGAGAAAAATTGGCCACATGGCTCTAGAATTTAGTTTGGTCTAGATTTCCTCAAAATTTAATAAAAATTATATTTTATATGAAACGCGACGAGACAAAATTTTCATAAATTTACAAAGTTATGATTTATAATTTTACCTTACATTAAAATGTTTAATTTATTTTTATCTATTTAACACAGCTTACTAGCTATTCCGTTTTAATGTAGGGACATTCAAAGACAAATTTCCGAAGTAAAAGTAATTATAGTATGTTGACAGTTAAACGAAAAGATTTATATTGATCGTAAGGGGTGTGACGTTACAGGTTGATCGAGCAGTTTTATTCTCGGAAATGAAAGTACCGAAAAAACTACCAAATTTCTTTTTGAAATATACAAAAGCCTTATGGAAAACTGTCAAAAATACATAATAAATACACCCATCACAACATACCTACAGATTAGGAGAATTCCTATTCTTCTGGGTAGAATTTGTCTAAAATATTCCCTTAAAATGTTCAGATTTATTACCTATTAACATTAGAAACAAAGAGTATCGAACTAATGTTTGGTGCTACACAGAAGGCAATGACACGTGTTTTATATTTATTCCATGTGCAAAATAATTTGTTTTTAAAGCTCTACACGATGGTTGTAATAGAAATTTGTTATTTTTACGTTTGAAAGTTCAAAATGTGAACCCCCGTTCAAAAAATCTAAAGCTCATACTAACATTCTGTTCTCATGATCCAGTCACTTGTTCATCGGTCCCAGGTTTAGGTATAGCCGTGCTACCTACGGTAATAGCTACTTCCCTATTTTTAGCTAAATCCTGAAATGTTAGTACTAAAATGTATTTTGTAAAACGAAGAAAAATTTGCAGTAGAGGCAAAGAAGGAATGATTTTCTTGCAAAGTTAAAAGGATGATAAAGTAAGTGAAGGCTGGGAAAATATTTAAGGAGGTAAGAAGAACAGGCATTTTGTCATTTACTTGAAATTTAATAGGTTTTTGTAATCTTTCTCTCCGTCTCTCGTTTTCAACAGTTTAAAACTACATGAGTAACGTACATTTTGAAAACTAATATAAATAACAACTTTAAAACAAGCTATAAATTAATTACTTATAATACAAATTTAGAATTTGGACTTGTCTAATATTAGCTGTCAATCTCCTCACATTTTCAAAATCTAATTGACTATGCTAATAAGATTATTAAGTAACTAATGTGACTGTCGTGAAATCTTGTAATCTGTTCTTATTCTTAATTTAGTACATTAAATTACTAAACTATTCCTTTGAAACCCCTTCTAAGTAATAATAGTACTAGGAAGTTTATTTGATTTAAAATATTGTAGATTTCATAGTCTTAAGTTATTATAATAGAGAATGTTATATATTTTTGGTATTTTATAACAATCAAGTAAACTGTGTTTTCATGTGCATTATTGCAAAGGATACTTTTAATTTTAGTTGATGACTTTTCCTACGCTATTGCATAACATAGGTGCTGACTACGCTATAAGCGTGGGAAAAGTCCATAAACTAAAATTAAAATAAAATAAACCCAACTAGATAGTCTTTGAAGAAACCAAATTGAAAGGTAGAACTTGGATTTTTATTGTCTTAGCTTAAATCAAAGGAGATATACATATATTTTAGAGTATATTAACCATGAGAGTTTAATATGATATAAACACGAAATTTTTAGGTGTTTAACTATATTGCTTCCTAAGTATATTTAATCGCATAAAATAAATTACTGTATATGGAATTATTTACTACACATTTGAAGGAAACTTGTTCAATTATCTACTTTCAAACAATAGTAGTACATAAGCTGAGAAAAACTAGATTTTTTTTATAGTTTTGCTATTTATGTCTTTTCGTGTTATATAATTTCAAATGATTTGCTAGAAAGTCTAACAAAATGGTTATAACCTTAGGAAACGTGCAATTTAATATGACAAATTCCATTAATAATTGTTGGTGTATTCAATTTAAATTTATATGTTTCCCATCATTTTGGTTGTGGAAGTAAATGAAGTACAAGATTAAAGGTTAATTATTTAAGGATGATACGAATGCGTTATAAAAAATGTAATAATCAGCAAGGGTTGATTAACAATAAAAAAATGTTTTGTGGTTCCTTAGATAAGCACGAAACTAGGGTCTTTGAGCAGTTGAAAAATATATTTCCACGATATAAATACTATAATTAGAAATTTAATATTGATACACCGTAATCATAACTGCCATACTATATGAGTATTTGGGCTAGTATTTGTTCTCCCATTTAATGTGAAATTTTAGTTTTTGTAATGGTCACACTAATAAATCAATTTTTTTAAATTGATTTTACCCTAGTTTTTTTAATTAAATAATTATCACGAATTTCTTCACATTAAACAAGGTAACAAACACCTCCGATTGAAATAAACCCATCATTAATTACAGAAAACCCTTCTATCTTTACATAACAAAATTTACGAAAGCGTATTTACTTTAGTACCAGCACGGACTAATTTCTACACATGAAAATACTGTTCTACACATCAATTAATTTCATTCGTTTGTCATATACTGCATTCTGATCATACTCTAGTATTCGTGTCACACACCAGTATACGAACACAATTTCTCTAAACAAACCGGAAATATACAATACAACACAGTAGTACAGCTGTACAGGAAATGTACAAATTCTAACAGGTATTTACATTCGTTTGTTTCATGAGATTACATTCATTTTGTCAGACATTCATTCCATACTCTCGTCACCACATTAGTGGCAATACATTCCCATTCAGCCATTCCACTATCGTCCATTCCCATTCCATTTCCATTTCATTCCAGACAACCATTCATGTTTAGTACTCAGTATCAATTTATCCCATTGTTTAGTATGCATAACGTTTTTGGTGAAACTTTTAAAGTTAAAATTTACATATAGTACTCTATCTTGTATATTATATTTGCTGCTTTAGAGTTGCATTACTTCCCATACGGTATGTGAAAAATTGAATATAACAAAAACGTAATAAAAACATAAAAAGATAAAAAAGTTGAAAATCAACACTAAAAAGTTAAATATTTAAAGCGATAGTGAAAAGTGTTAATGTTGTTTGTGCACCAAAAACAAATAAACTATTTGGGTTTGATTGTAGGGGAAAACAATAAGAATGTGCAGAAAACAAACAAAATACCTCACCACCAAATACCTTATAAACTCTTAACACCAACCACAGTTTTTGTCACAACAACAAATACAACGCATTCAACATGTTAGAGAGAGACAGAGAGAAAGATAGACACGAGCGAGAGAGAAGGAGAAGAACAACAATTGAAGGTTTTTTTAACAAGTCAGGGAGTTTTCAAGGTCGTTTTCTTACTCCGTGACCCTCGCTCGTATCGTGAACTCCTCGCCGATCTCCCTGCAACATCACAGAGTATGAAGATCATCGTGAGGAACACATAGAGTAAGAGATCTCTGGACCGTAACGGAAAAACATTGCGAGAAGGTAAAAGAGTATACACAGAGTAAAGTGTTAGGAAGGTATAGAGTATTAATAAAACGGCGATTAAGTGGTTTAGACTAAAAGTAGGGATTCAAATATAACTATTTGAATTAATTGTTGGATACGTTGGTTTTTACATTTGGAAAAAGAATAATGGACTTGTAAGGTACTGAAGTTGAATTGCATACACGGAATATGCATGGAGTAACACGGTCAGACTAAAACTACTGTAATTAAAAGTAGACCAGTCATTAAATATAAATTATAAGATTAGTGTATTTTGATGTACAATGTTGAAAGAGAAACTAAAAATGAGGTTAAATGAAAATATGTAATAAGTAAGGTTCTGGAAGGTATATATTTGATTCTTGATAATCATATAAAACATAAAATGTAAAAAAAAATGGTAAAGGGTAAACATATCGTCCACAATTGAAGTAAACTGACAAATTACAGAACAAATTACAATGTAAAAATGACCTTCATGTAGGCACAGTAGACATAGGTAGAACTATACATCAAAGTACTTAGTTTGAGAGTACGAAGAAAAGAACAAAATGTTGTAAAAACTTAGTTAAATGAGATTTTTTAAACACGTTTCTTATATTAGTATTTAGTTAACACCAAAATGAAGTTTTATTTGCGTAGAAAAATAAATAATAACTATTGAATACAAACGGTATCAGCAATCTGACACATACTTTCTCCGATTATCTTGTTAACAACCCTTAACTAAGCTAAGCGGTGTTATCAAATATGATATAAGGGGGCCAACGACATCTGCAACAACGATTAATCCGTAATTTTTTAAGAACTGGGGATCATACCATTTTGTTTGGAGTTAAAAAGACCATAACACACGTAACATAAATTCTAACGAAAATCATTTGAGACTTTTTTAAAATCACAATTTGATATTTTATAGAAAAATCCCTACTAAAAACAAACTTTCGGAAAAAAGACCCCTGGGGATACCGTAGATTATTACCCACATACCAAATTTCATTAAAACTGGACCACTCATGTAAACACACGCACAAACATACACACACTCAAATGCAAACACCCACAAAAACCTTTTATGGGTTCCCAAAACTCAAACTCAATAATTTTGACGAAAACAATAGAACAATTTCTCCATCGAAGGAGAAATGTGGAAATCATGATTTTTTTAGTAAAATCCTTAAAAGTCTAAGTTCGAATAATGTAAGTTTATAAAATAAAACTTAATACTTAAACATTTCTTAAGATCTCGTTTTATAATTATAAAGATTCTTAAATCACTTCTTTGGTTGTATATTTAACTTAAATTTCTATATTTCTTCTCCCTGAAAAAGTAGAAATTAAAAAAGGTTAGAACGGTATTGAGACCTTAAGATCAAAATTACAGCAATATTAGTTCCGTCACATAAAAGAGTTGGCAGTTTCAAATAAAAAGTTCTATTTCTCCCGGTAATCATTGAAACGCTCTGATTGGTTGTTAAGGGGAATAGAAATACGTGATTGGCTTGCCCAATTTAAATCGTGCACAGCTTCAAATGCGATAGGACAATAAAGGTCAAAGAGTTTTTGACAAAACAAATTTTAAATTGTGTTACTGTTAGCTACACCTCTTAACAACGGATACAATTATTGTGGTTAAATGAGAGTACAGTTAATATTTTTGTAAGGCTTTTTATAACTTACTTTTCATTGATCTGATTAAGATGATTCATTTAAGTGGGTCTTTTTGTCCTAGCTTTTTTACGCTATGTACGAGCCCCGGGATTGTTTTTCACATTACTTCAGGTTAGACCTAGGAGTTGCGGCATTATCACTTAGATGAAATCCATTGGTGACTTGCCAGGATTTGAAACCAGGACCTCTTGGACCGAAGTCCAGAGCTCTAATCCCTAGACCAGCTCACTCCCCCGTAAGTAGGTCTTATGCATATACGCAAGAGCAACATTTTGAATAGTTATTATACTATGGTTAATACTACAGTACAAGCTTTCCAGCAGACCCCAAGATACCGTGGGAAATCCAGGACGGCAATTTCCACTTGGCGCCATTACTATATGATATTTTATAGAATCTATGGGTCTCTAGATAACACTTTTCTATAAATGGAGTTTGCACCAAAGTCCACAGGCATGTACATCTGTGCAGCATGACATTTACTATTATATACCATCCGGTGTAACCGCGAACTCGACAGTCCTAGGCACCCTTTGGGCCATAGACATACTAAGGTAAATCTTATGGGGAAATAATTCCCAGAAGTAACTATTATTTCAATTTTATCATTTACCATAGGCTTACAGACAGAAATTAATCTTTTCGTGTCCACAGTTTTGATAGCAAAATAAGATTTCCCTTAGGTGACGATTCCCCAAAAGTCATAGAAAACGCACTTTTGGAATAAGCATGAATTACCAACCACTGGCTCAAGTCAGTGGCTCCTCATCATGTAATTTGCCTTCTATAATCCGACTTAGGAAAAATTGTGCCCCCAATTATGTAATAGCCAAGTTTTAGAATAGCCAGGTCTCAAAAGGTTTTTCTTCTTTCGAACTTCAACTCTTTCTTCACTCTTAGAATCTAAACATTTTCAGAAACCATCTGCCTTATCTGGCATTTCAGGTTCCACACTAGTTTTAAAAATTGGCTTTTATCGGCTGTCCTTTTTTTACAGAAGATTGAAGTTTTCCCTCTCTTTCAAAAACCCTCTACACAACTCCTTGCGAGAGGGTCTCGGCTTTCCAGCTCTTACATAGAGACCGTCCTCCACTCCACAGGTTGAGTAGTGTTAAACGAAATAGTGACATCGGCAGAGTTTCTACCGCTTTCCTAATCTGCAAGAGGGGTCGTGTAGCCAACTAATACTCATTAAAGCCGATTGGGATTTGACGAGTTGAAATGGAAACCATGTTTTAGCTGACCGTAAAACCCGGCACTTAACCTGCATATGGGGAAGAGAAATGGAATATCCAAGTGTTAACGTTCAGACGGCGGAAGACGAAAAACAAGAAAACCGTGCCATTAAGCAGGCTTGGGAGATTTGTAGACTCATTAAATGTATTTGAACTAGGAATGGAAGTTTGAAGAGTCACGAGAAAGGACAGCTGCGTTGAAGTATCACTTAGTCTCCAATTGATACTGTGATTTATTTTAAGGACAAAACTTACGGCAAACTGATATTAATTGGCCAAACGATTGATTAAAAAAATAAACCTGTATTTTTGACAGTGATCTTTAGGAGCACAAATTCACATCATATACGTAGGAAATGGATAATATAAGTTTTTAACAGTTTATTTTCGTATCTTTTGAGGATTGTTTACATAATGTCCTAGAAAATAATGGATGAAAAATTAAAATGATTACTGTAGTATCTTTATTAGACAATCTTTTAATAAATTTATGATATAAAATTTTATTGTAAACAAATGTTTAAACAACTATAATGAATTTTTTAAAGTTCTACCCGTTATCTGTTATGTAACGTATAAAATCTGTCAACAAATTTGAGAAATTAGTATTGTGTTTAGTAAGAATATAGCGATGATCAAACTAAAAATTAAATGTGATTCACATTCATACAAACATGAATTGCTTGCACAATGAAATAAAAAAATAGTACAGTTCATATCATACAGTTATGTAACCTCCTAAAAACTAATGTCTACAAAGGTGAGTACAATAATTTTTACTGTTCTACTTACTTAGGATATGTGACGTTGGGAATTGGCTTTAGGAAACAACGTTGTCGAAGAATACCTTCCCAAAGCTGGACCCCGATGATTCCGAAAATGAAGAAAACGAAGAAACAAAGAAGAAGGACGTTACCCAGCATAGGCAGGGTGTCTAGAAGGAGCATGACTAGGATCCGCATACCTGCAACACAAAGGTTTATATTTAAATAAATTGTCCAAATAGGGTTCAGCCATAGCCACCAATACACAATACACCAATACACCAATACAGCCAATACACAGTGTACTAGAGAAGGCTATGGTTCAGCTGAAAAACGTTTACTGTAGGTCTCGTGATGAGACCTAGAACCGGGACCGCTTCATTTGTGCGTTCTGTTGTCTCCAGAGGCTAAAACACCATTAGTTTAAATTCTTATAATATTTTTCATAATTAACATATACTTAAGTATACACGTGTCCGTCAACTCGATAACGGAATTTAAAATCATTTGATTATGTTGAAATTCGGTGTATACGTAAATAATATAGTTATTTGAACGAGTTCGCGAACTATAACTACTGGAGGATAGGGAAAGGGTTTTATAGGGTAAAAATTGGTTTTACCATTTTCACCCCCAATATATGAAATTTCGCAGTTTCTTTCCAAACCATTTTGTAAAGATATTTTTCAAATAACCAATAATTTGGTATATTAAAGCGTCATAGTACGTCTAATGGTTATGGAAATAGTAAAAAAACCTAACAGTCTTAAATTCCAATGTTAATCTCATAGATAATAAGTAAACGTTGTTGCTAACGTGTTTATGGATGTATTTGATCAAACCCTTTTTTGGTAAATTTATTATTTTGTACCAAGTACATTTAAGTATAATTCCTCATAGCAGCAAACCTAAGTATCTCACTCACTAAAATTAATTTTATTTAAGTGGAAAATAAATTTTAGAATATTTTAGTTTAAATCCGATAAGGAAATCAGTTAGTCAGCAAGTTTGCTGAGGTGAATGTATTTTTTATCAAAAGGAGGATTTAAAGAAATGGTAGTTCCTGCATATATGGGGCTTTGGGAACTACAGTAGTATCAAATAGCCAATGCAGTCACCTTAGTGAATCAACGTCAACGGACAATATATTCTCTACTGAGCCTCAATAACGATGAGGGATAGCAAAAACTATTCATCCTTTAGCCATAATTTTAATTGCATACACGCACGTACACTAAATTAATTTTTATTTAAAATATTTACCATCCCATTTTTATATTTAAATTCAACCATAAGGCAGGGAAAAGGAAATTAATAAGGTTCGTCTAATAATAATTGACAATTCGTCATTGACTTATTCCCCTATTACTTACATAACTTAATTCAATTTTTACCATTAACAAAAGACTGAAATTGCCAGGGATTATTATATACGAAATAATTGTTGATAAAAAAACGAACAATACAGTGTTTAAGCATATTTTTTACAAAATATAAATCCTTAATAAAAAAAGGACAAATTTTAGATCTGTAAAATTCAAAAGGGTTATAAAGCATATTATAAAGGACACTAGTGGATAAAACATTCATAAAGTTCAACATTTTTCTCCCTCCAAAGTGCACGTGTTACCAGCTGATTGCTTGGCAGGTGAAGTTGGCAGCAATGTATTACATTTGTTAACATAATGTTGGCAATCCTGACACGACCACCTGTTGCCAACCTGATAACGCTAAAGTGTTACGTGACTATAAAAACCGCTTGTAATTTGATCACGCACATCGGTGAGTTGGATTTGATTTTCATATCCCAACACCTCTAACACAGTTCCGATTGACTACTCACATATATCACATATATAATAATAACTAGCTTGAACCCATGGCTTCGCCTGCGATATGATGTATGATGTATGATGGTATTACCATCATACAGCATAAGAAATAAACAGAGTATTACAATCTGAATCACAATTTACCTTCCGTAAATTGAATTAAAACACAACTGGATATTCGAAAGTTTCCTAATTTTGTCTACTTGATATTTTTTGTTGAGATCTATGTCTATAGTTGTGCAAATAATTATGCGTAGTGGCTTCACCAATGATAAAAAAATAGAAAAATATCACTAGTTATTGCACAGATTAAAAAAATCATGTTACAATTAAAAATTCTACATAGATTAAATTATAATTAAAAAATAAATGAAAACCATCTCATACAAAACAATATGTTTAATCTCCGACTAAAAAATCTTACAACATAACATCTTGAAACTGAAAATACCTCGACTATTCAGTTTGTCCAAAGGTATAGTCTTTCATCGGTTCTTCTAACAGGCAAAGAAACTTTTCCACCAGAACAACTCATTCCAGCAGGCTCATCTTTCCATTTTAATGCTCCGTAGTGTATACACACTCTGTCCGTTCAATATATTTTTAATAATTCGTGTTGTCTATAGTAGGCTATATTGTTGCGTCGTATTCCATTGCATCATTTTCAATCACACACCAAGTATCTCTGTTGAATGCTTGTCGCCAATTTCTGAATTAAAACCATAAACATGACTATAAACCATTCTCCCTGGACATTTCTCATTGTGTATGGCAGCTTTTCGTTGCTGCTTTGTTCAAATATCTGTTATCATAAAATAATGCAACAAAATTAATAGTGCTGCACCCTGTGGGTAAACCTTATAACTATTGGACGTCATAGATCCAACTTGTTTAGTTTAAAAAGCTGACTAAAAATTCTTTAATTCCTTAATATGAATACTTATAAGGTTAACATTGGAAATTATTGAGCCACTGGGGTGGAGCACTAGAGGGTGTTTTAAGAATAGCCTTTTTATGTTAATCGGAAATCTGACCTATCATAATGCCAAATTTCACTCCAATCCGACCAGTAGTTAATGCGTGATTGAACTTCAAACAAACATACAAACTTTCACATTTATCATTTTAGTATGATAATATGATAATAATAATAGTAATAATAATTTGGGGAAATTGTATCCTTAATTCTGCATGGTTTTTAAAGTATACGAGATTCTACTTCTTTATTACGACACCGATTTCCCATTTTTCTCTAGACGAAACTGACTATTTTAAGTGTATAGTTAAAAATACCTTTCATTGTTAATCACAGATGAATCAATCAAATAAATAACTATAACATAATTGTAGTTTCCCCTTAAAAGTTATCTTGCAATAAAAATTGTGCTATTATAGAACACCAGACAGTAAACTTGAGTACCCGAAATTGAAGTAACTACATAGGAACTTGACACATCTACATATACAAAACATTTTATGGATGTAGGGTAGATATTAACAAAAATTCTGTATACGAGTATCAACTGTAAAAAGAATAAAACTAGACATGACTCTTTGTTTGGTTAAAATTAAAATTTACTTTACAATATGCTTACAAATAGGTATATAGTAAAGTAAAAGTTGTTATTAAGTTTTACATTACAGAGGCACAAAAACCAAATTTACGACTGTACCAATGTTTTTTCTAAATATTTTTTGAAAGAGTACCCAGAGACTGCAAAGTCAAATCTTCGACTTTTTAGGTTGCATGCAAATGTGGTGATTCAGTACACCTCTAGGATTACCTCTTTTCTGAACATGCAAGAAGGGTTGCAATATGCAATGCTGTATAATTTTACCATCAGGGACATCCGCCAGCTTTTGCACAAGCGTAAATGTTTTCCCATAACTACTTAGACCACGTATTTTCCATAATGTCATGCCTATATTGAAAACTAATGTTATGGGTTGAACTATGGAATACATTGAAGTACATGGTGTGTACGGTAAATATTAGATGTTCGTGTAGTTTTTTGATAAGAAGAATTTCAAAATAATAAATAATTTATGAGGATATCTGAGCGCAAACTGCACATTTTCATACAGTTCAAAATTTGTCATTAAGGCAAAACGAATATAGCAATAGTTTTTATCTTTGAAAGACGAGGTGTGGAAGTTATTAGGTGAAGAAATCATCAAGACTCTACTCTACACTCATACTTGAGCTAAAGTACGATATAGGCAGTGCTGATTAAAACTATATAAATAATATCTAAAACAAGCAGAAAGGCCCATCTCAATTGATAATAGTAATGAAAACTAACGTATAATAAATTAAATTTTATGATTGTTGCCTATACCAGAGTGATTTACTTACTCAATCAGGTTACAAATAATTTATCACTATGAGTATTCTAGTCTATTTATAATAAATTTTCATAATAAACGGTTTCGTCTTTTATATCTAACTATCTGTTTACAATATATAAGGTGAAGGATTAGCTGTTATTAAATTACAAATTGGTCACCATCACTGGATCTTTGAAAATTGACTCTAAAATTAAATCAAACGCTATGAGGGCGATGCCCAAAATGAAATTACCATTAATCCTTTGCTAGATCATCAGCTTTTAAATGTCCCCTCCATAGTAAAAATCTATTTGAGAAGTAGTGCGTAAAAGGGGTGTTTCAGAGAACCTTCATGTTGTAATAAGTATGTAGATTTATAAATAATCATCAGTAGTTTCTTTTATTCAGGTTGTCTACGTCATAGTTGAATGGGTAATCGTGTTCTTCCAAAGATCAATCAATTGATATGACATGTTGCTCATTAGCCAACTATACGTATCGCAATAATTGTGCTTTGGGCTGGCAGACAAAGCCAATCTTGTTTTGACATGCTCAAAGCAGTATATATCTGTTTCAACATTGGGTATAGTCTCGTCTGGCAAGAAATAACAAGCACCGTTAAACACTGTTTTTGTTTATAATGTACAAAGAGAATGAAGTGAATATAAGTTACAACAATTAAAATTATGGCCCTACAGACTATTGTATAATATTTGCAATGTAAAAACATATACACTTTGTTTGATATGAAGATAATCTTAAGTTCTTTCAAGATTGGACTTGAGAGGAAACATGACAAACAGAGAGTTGTTGTGATTGGTCGACAGACCGGAAACACAAAAAGACCTTTTGAGACTTCCGGTGTTTACTGAGTCGATATCCTATAATGTGGCTTAGATATAATTAATCTTTGCTGGCTCACTTACATTAAAACCCAATAGTTGGATTTTACATTAACAATTTTATCCATATAACAAAGATATTTTTACATAATCTAAAGCTGTAAAACCATCCTAAAATGATTCCTAAGGTGAGTCGGT